ACTAGAAAATGAAGTTTCTATGGTTTTAGGTGGCACCTCCTCATTTTATATTTTTTGTTTGTGCTTCTAGATCTTGAACTTCTGCTTCTATATCTTTGTTGAGTTTTATGTTTCTAGATATTGAGTATTTCAACACTATTTTTGTTGTTATGTTTTACTTAAACTCGCCTTGACTCATCATGATTCATCATGTTTGCTAGAAAATGAGGAACCTCACTAGAAAAAGAGGATACAGGTGGGATCAAGAAAACAAGGTGATGTCTAGAAAATGACCCTGCCAGCACGCCTATGAGACCTGTGTTTCTCATTTTCTAGTGACAGTGACCTACATGTCACTAGAAAATGCATTACCTGACCCCTTCCGATCCCGGTGAGTTTACCTTCTTGAGACTAAAGAATGCCCGTTCTCTACAGACATCAACCCCTCCCATTTTCTAGTCCGAATATCAAGGGGGATGGTCAGACACTATATCACGGTTCGGTGCCTTTTGCATCCCTTGGTGCACCTGTAACCTTTGTTCAACCAAAAAAATAAACAAAAGAACAACTCCAAGAACCCCCCAGCCTCAGTTGTATATATCTAGTCTATCCGTGAAAAAGATCCATAAATGGTGCTCTATAGTCTATCGGCTCTCCGACCGCGCAGCAGGCGTTTTGCGCATGTTGCGACTGCGACTCGCCATTTGGCTGGGAAATAGAGGTGAACCTGTGGTGCACCTCTTGGACTCGCTTGGGGTGTCCCCAAAACTCCCCAAAAGGCTTGGCCAGGTGATCCCGCTTTTCGGGGACCAAGGAGGCCGACATGGTATAACCAGGAATTCCATGTCGCAGCGGGTGCCCCAAAAATCACATCCTCTCGCTGAGACCCACCGAAAACATCCTTCCAAACCTGGAACTCCAACTCACCACGTTCGGCACACGGCTGGGCAGCCGATGGCCTCCAACCTACTAGCAGCATTACTAGCAATGGCCTCCAACCTACTAGCGGCCTCCACCCCACTGGCGGCCTCCAACCTTCTGGCGGCCTCCAATCTGTCGGCTTGAAGACTGAATGTTCTTCGCGTCTTCACCGAGCGGCTCGATGCTCTGACGGCTCGCCGCATCCGGGCGGCTAGTCGGATCCTCGGTCCGTCGGAGCCTGTGCACATGTGGCTCTGAAGCCTCAAAAGTGGGTGTCAAAATCCAACTTGCTAGCACTTCAAGACATTCAATTCCACCACTTGCCCATACTTGGCCAGAAATCGCCCAACTCGCCTGCCTGATGAGACTCTAGCACATGTCTCCTTCATCGCCTCTAAGCTGATTGGGATTGCAATCTCTGACACACCTTGTGGTTCTGAGTCAAACTGGCTTCCAGCAACGAACACGCGTCACAAAATGGAGTTTGGCGAGACCATTCAAACCTCTCAAACCTCTCCATTTGTCTGGCGTTTGATCCGTCGTCACTCAAAAAGATCGCTTATTACTGTGACCCCCCAACCGGTATACACGCCCCTTTAAAAGATCACTTCTCCTGTCGTTTTCCTCCCAAGCTCAAGGTGGCTCACCCCAACCTCCGCTCCAACGCGGCTCTCCCCGCCAGCTCCCTCCACGCCTGAAACGCTCCATGCAGCGAGAACCGCGCCCGGCCATCGGTAGAGGAGTCGAAGACCTCGTCGGGCATGGGGAACCGGTTCGCTGAGTCTGTTGGCCCCAAAAAATCGAAGAAACTCTTAGAAACAATGCCCAGACACGACGATCCATGGGCTGCGACAGATGGTGCGCCAGTATAGGAGCACCCTCGTTTGTGTTCACTCTTCTTTCTAGGATAGAGAGAGAGAGAGGGGAGGGTCCTGTCAAGAGGAAGAGATTGACACAGGGCCCTCCCATCCGTGTCGTCCATCCACGTGCATCGATGGAGTAATTAGATCTGTCTGTATTCCAATCATGAGTGTTGAGCTGTTCCATCTTCTATCTACTCTTGGATTTGCTTCCGGAACCTGGAAGAACAAACTACAACTTATTCACCAGAAGTGGATTTAGCCATAGGGAACATCAAACATCACCTGTCAGCAAAACCAGGTACTCTGGCAAATGTCAAATCCCCCAAATTGGCATCTCTGGTCCATGGCAAGCAAGGGATTTTCTTGACTGAACTAGACTCTGGATCCATCAGCTCTGGATCCATCAGCTCTGGATCCATGCTCCCAACCAGAAGCAATCCCAAACACCCTTCTCCAAAAGCAGCTTAAGGGCATGGGTAGGCTCGTTCACCTACGTCCGAGCGAAATGGATCTGCGCAACTGCAACGAAACCGAGTGGAAAAAGTCGGGCCAGGCCTTGAATACCAGGCACTCCCCAGGCAGCATGTCAGGATAGTAGACCCATCCTTAGAAGTTAGGACATTTTAAGAGGCTTTAAGTGAATCTGGGTGTGGGATCATGAAAGAGCTGGCTTCCCCACCAACCACGGCCTTCGCTTCTTTTCCAATCAGAATCTGCTCTTGAATTGGGTCCGTCGGTTAGTCCGCATTTGGGGACGCCCATCAGTTGGATCCGCCCATCGGACCGGACGCAACTGGTGCCACCGACCGGTCGAGCCGGGCCGAGCCGATGGCGGCGGGTGAGGGAACCACCAACGAGCACTCCTTGATCCTTCCAGGTGACCGGTGGTCTAGTTGGTTCATATTGGGAACCAATCAGATTGGAGGGTCAGATTCTGATTTGACACCTGCGTCTCGGCCTACGAGAACTAATTGCTCTTCACCCATTCCGCTGTTCAGTTGGTTTCATCGATTTTTGGAGCATCTCGTCTGTCCAACATGATCCACAAGATAAGTTCAAGTGGAGCACGTCATGGAGCATGCCATTGGAGCTATGCCATCCACATGACCAACCCTTCTTTTCGCGCATGAACCTCCCACCTCGCCGGGTGTTTCTCCACCACCATCGCCGTCCTCACGCGTCCCACGGTGCTCGTCCACCGGAAGAGCTCGGAGCGAGCGTCGGTGGAGGTCACTGGGCATGACGCGATAGGTCTCTCCAGTGCGGTGCGGGTAGATGAACCTCAGCCGACTGAAGAGGTGAACCCCCGAGATCGTGCAGCATGGGATGCTCAACACGCGCCCGCCTGCGGGCGGGGTGCTGTAGACGTGTTTGCTGAAGGAGCGAAGAGCATCGTCTTTTTAGGGAGGATGGATGGAAACAGTTCTCATGCTCCACATATCTCATCTCTCATGCTCTACTCAGGCTCAAAAACCTCCCCTGACTGCCGCAGCAGCTCTGCTTACAAAGATTTACCGCCTTTTCTGCCAGAAAAGAACAAGAAGTTCGAAGGTGGAATCGCATCTCAAAAACAAGGCCAACACGAGGCAACAGTCTGAATACGAATACCCCCGTACTCACCCCTGGAAGGTTTTTCGGTTAGACTGAGGCCTCTTCAGTCGGACTCAGGGTGCCGAAAGCACAGGGTCCAGATGGGTCCATGTTCGTTTTCGGGAGTGTAAGAGGCCATCCCTACTAGGTTGGAAGCCATCCCTACTAGGTTGTAGGTGTATCTCTTCCAAACGTTTCAATCGGGATCTCCTAAACGAACCCACTTGTTTTCAATTCTTTACTTGCTTTTCTTCTCTTCAAAAAGCCGAAGCAAATCATCACGACCGAGTCACTTCACAGTCACCACATCGCACGGCCTCTGGCTGCTCCATTCGATCAAACCCAACGGGTCCCGCTCCACCTGCGCGATCGGACCTCGGCTCCTGCGGAGCCGCTCCGGTCGGGGGATCCGGGTTGCCCGTGCACGGAACATGAAGGTCTGTATGAAACTGGCTGCGGTCAACTGGCTGTATGACACTTTGTGGACAAAGAAGAGGGACGATGGAAGATGCAAAACAAATTATCAAAACACCATAAAACAGCTGGATCCGATTCAATAGTCTAGTGTTCCTTCACATGAAAAAAGTCACATGTCAAACCATGGATAGTTTGCTGATCCGAGAAAAAGAACCGCACTGAAACATCTTCGAAACTCAATAATTACACCAAATCTGCAGGTGCTTTTAACTTTAAGATCAGCTCTGTGTGAGTACTCAATACTGCCAAAACCAAACCGAAAGAAACACAGCAAGCTGCATAGCCTCAAGCTGCACAGCCTCTCTATGCAGCTTTAAGAGCTGCGTTCAAGTCTGGGGTCTCTTTCGGTTTCCGCTTCCGTCCACCCAACAATGGCCACTGCGGCCACGACCTCGCCTTCTTGAGAGGTACCCAAACGTTCACGAAGGCGAAGCGTTGCTTCAAGACCTCGTCAATGCCTCAGACGCCGCTTCGCAGGACGACGGGGACGGCCGAACACCGACCGAACAGCGCCTGAATTTGGACGAAGAGAATCCTCTTTGTCGGCTTTTTCGGACAGAAAAAGTGGAGGTGTCGATGAGAAACGGAATGAACTCGGAGGATTTCCAATTGCTGCCTAGTTGATGCACTTCAGAGGGCACCATGCCAAAATCAATCTTGCACATCTTGGAATTCTGAAGCAGGTTCTAGTTGTGATTCTTATGGCACAGACCATGCCAAAGAAACAACAATCTTTCATTTGCGGAAAACGCTTTTAGCGGTCTCTAAGCCCGCCTTCAAAAGAAGTCAAACACCTTTCCTCCATTCCACTATACCCTCCTGAGCCAAACCTTGATGCCGAAACAAACACATCAACTGGAGGCCGTCCGACCTTCTAAGGACCCAGCAAACCGACCTGCTGCCGGAGCGACGCTGCTCCGCTTCGTAGCCCTTCATCAACGACTGCAGCCGCGTGAAGCCGCTGCGCACGGTGTAATCGCCGTGCACCGAGAAGGCAGGACCACTGGCGAGCCTCGGCGTCTGGTCGGATCTGGTGGGTCGGATCTGGTCGGATCTGATTCAAGGTCTGCAAATGGACTGGACTCCATCCCGGGGTGTTCTTTCTCTCAATCAAGTGGTTCATATCGGTTCCATGTTTCGTTGTTCACTCCTCCACCCCACTCGGATGGTCCGCAGCGAACGAAAGAGCCTTCCCTGCGGCACAGGTGCATCTTGGTGATCTCTCCCGCTGCGGCCTCTTTGGCGTAACGGGCGTCATGCCGGGCGATGTGGTCGAAGACCAGCACTTTCGTACCTCGAGTTGGGGGGAGAAGAAGGGACATTTGTGGGTACAAGTTGATTTGGTTTCACGTTACATATTGGTTTTCCGGAGTTTTCAGTTGGGGATGGCCATGTCAAGGTCCAAACCCTGGCTACCATGTCCTATTGGCTGATTACTTGGATGACTTTGGATAGTCCCATATTCCATGCCAAAAGCATCCAAAAGCATTCTATACATGAACCATCTACTAAGTTGTCATAAGATGTCACGAAACCGCATCAAAAAAAACACACACAAACGACCAAGTCCTGTGGTGTGGGAGGTGGCCTTCGTCTTTTCAGGTTTCCTTACAACCGCTCTCCCCAAAAAAGGCTTCCACTGCACGCCGTTCTCGCCGAGCGGCAGCACGGAAAGGTCCGTTTCAGCACCTCTTCGGCCAGAGGGTACAAGGCCTTGTCGCGCTTTCTCACCACACCAGCCCCCGATTCTACACGTCACAGCTGTGATGGACAGAAAACTTAGGAACAAGGGCATCGCTACTAGGAGCAAGAAGCTACTAGGAACAACGGGTAAAAGAGTCACTGACGTCCTGTCCACCTACAGGATAGCTCGCGCTTCTTCAAGAAAGCTCCCCGCGCCTGAGGGCGGCGGAGCTTGCTTGAAGAAGCGCTTGCACCCAGGATTTGGTTCCTACATTTTCAGGAGAACTGGCTGTCCTCACCAGTCAGAGTTTGGGCCAGGAGAATATGTTTTTGATTCGCGGCGATCGGAATTTGCTCCTTGTATAGAAATCTGGCATTCAGAGGAGGGTCGGTGGCTTTCAAGCTAATGTAGGCTGCCTGCATTTGCAGCGCTTGAGGTCTACAACTTGTTTGACCCACATATTCGGTAATTGAAGCCACCAAGCACCCACTGATGCCCCAGGTTTTTACATAGTTTTGGCCTAGCCTTTTTTGGAAACGTGCTTCGATGTTGATTGGTTTTGAGTCTTTGACGAAGGCCCATGGTGCGAAATATGCGGCCCGAGTTTCTTTGCATTATCAGCATCTTCTGGGTGTTCTCCTCCTGTTGCTCTTGATATTTGTTTTTATGCTTCTTGCTCTTCCTCTTCCTCTTCTTCCTTTTCTTCCTTTTCTTCCGTTTCTTCCTTTTCTTCCTTTTCTTCCTTTTCTTCCTTTCTTCCTCTTCTTCCTCTTCTTCCTCTTCTTCCTCTTCTTCCTCTTCTTCTTCTTCTTCTTCCTCTTCTTCCTCTTCTTCTTCTTCTTCTTCTCATTCTTCTTCTTCTTCCAGTTCCTCTTCCTCTTGCTCTTGCTTGTTATCTTTTTATTGTTCAGTTCTTTATCTTTGTCTTCCCCTTCCTCTTTTCCTCTTCATCCCTTTCTTTTCTTCTGTCTCTTCCTCTTCCTCTTGCTCTTCTTCTTCTTGCTCTGGCTGTTTTTCTTTCTCCTGCTTATTCTTGTTTTCTTACTCTTTCGTTTTTCTTCCTGCTCTTCTTCCTGTTGTCTTCCTCTGCCTCTTCTTCTTTCTCGTGCTCTTGCCTTCCTCTTTTATCTTATGTTTATTATTCTTCGAGTTCCTCTTTCTCTTGCTCTTGCGGGTTCTCTTTTTCTTTATTCTTTCTCTTTCTCTTCCCTTCCTCTCTTCCTCCTCCTCTTTCTCTTTTTTTCTGCCTCTTCCTCTTCCTCTTGCTCTTCTTCTTCTTGCTCCGGTTTCTTTCTTTCTCTTGCTTATTATCGTTCTCTTACTCTTTCTCTGTTTTCTTCCTTTTCCTCTTCCTGTTCTCTTTCTCTGCCTCTTCCTCTTTCTCTTGCTCTTGCCCTTTAGAAAAGAGCAAGAGAAAGAGAAAAAGCAAAGGCTAGAGGAAGAGAAAGAAGACAGGGAATAGGAAAAGAAGAAGAGGAAGAGAAAGGCCAAGAGAAAGAGCAAAATAACGAGGAAGCGCAAAAGAAAGATTCAAAAAAAAACATAGCAACAGGAGGAGGAAAAGGAAGAGACAAAGAAAGAGAAAGAACAAAGCGACTAGGAAGAGAAGAAGAGGAAGAGGAAGAGACAGAGAAAAAGCAAGAGGAAGAGGTAAAGGAAGAGAAAGAGAAAGAAGAAAGGGAATAAGAAGAGAAGAAGAGGAAGAGAAAGGCAAAGAGAAAGAGAAAGGGAAAGAGAGGCAGTAAGGTCTAAAGATTCTCTGGCTGAACTGGCCCCAACTCTTCCCCTCATACCGGGTGCCCGGCTGTCAGGCGTCAAAAAAATTGTCGAGTAATCATGTACATGTCCAAGATCGTCTGTTAGTTCTGGAGCCTTCACCTACCAGTTCGTACTGCAGGAAACATCCGATCTGCTTGATGCTTCGTTGCTTCCGGACCGGAGCTTCGTTTCTGACCGGAGTGTCGGATCGGGGACGTGCGCCTTGCTGGTCTCCAAGTAATTGAAGAGGTCGTGGCCTGTCCACGGTCTTACGGCCGCCAGTTCGGAGACATCTTGAGACCCCAAACATTCCAGCTTCTTCAGGACGTGACCTTTTGAAGGTTCCTAAGTGACCCAAACAGGAGGCTTAAGTGACCGAACCAACCAGGTTATCAAAAGGTCACTTTGAAGAACCAGGTTCGTTTTTCATGTTTCTTTTTCCCACTGAGAATGAACCGAATGGATTACCAGACATGGTCAACCAGAGGTCCCGGGTGTGGAGTCAACCCACCCGCCATGTGGCTCAAACGCTCGCACCCGTCGACCGAGGTCGCGGTGAGTCGGTCGAAATCGCTCTTTCGCTCGGACACGTCGACCTGCGACTGGTCGGACAGTCGGAACCGGCTCATGGTGGGTGAAATATCATGCCCATCCGACATCCGAATGAGGGAGTGAGATATGATCCAGAAGGTGAAGAAAGGTGAAAATATGAACTCCATGAAAATGCATGCCCATCCGACTGCAGCCAGCGACATGTGGCGAAACATCTCCTTTTGGGACGGCCAGCTGCTCAAATCATCGAAAACGCAGAACATAAACCGAATTTAGGGTTTCGGACGTGGTGTTCTTTTAATTGGGGAGGCTTTTTTGATGGGTACTCGGTACTCGGGATTAATTGTATAGATTATATTTCGATATATTTCGACCTGCCAGCTGCCAGCTGAGGTCTCACAATCCAAATGAGGGGGTTCAAGACCATGCACTTGGAACAATGGTCGCCCCAAAGGTCCAAGTGTTCGCCTGCTGCCACACACGAAGAACTCTCTTACTGTTCAACAGGTTACCCACCTGAGGTACTTCACATTCATGGACATAGAAAAACACTCACCCTTCAAGAACCACTTCTTCGTCTTCCTTCTTCTTCCTTCTTCACGCTGAAGATCATGCCCCCCCAACCCAACCCGCACCTGCGGTCCGCTCGAGGGGAAGCGTCGTCAGGCAGAAGCCGTCCGTCTCCAGGCTCCGCGTGCGGGTGAAGGCGGAGCGGCCGTCCTGGATGAACTTCACGCGCTTTCCGGCATCCTGGAGAAGGAAGAGCAGCTGTGGCGAGTGCGAACGCGCAGAAGGGAGGGTTTTGAGCTGGAAATGGGATGGACATGAGAATGGAATAGGTGGAGTAGCATGCGCTTGACAGGCACTTGGACGGGGTTGTCATGTCTTTGCGTTTCTTGTCACACTTGGGGATCAGTCAAAACCTGAAGCCCTGGTCCACCATGTAGCGAACGACCTCCTGCCAGGTCAATCGTTCGGTGGTGCCTTGACCCACGTTGTGGGAATGGAGAGAAAACGGCCTGCGTCTGGCGGGCCGCAGAGAGATGCTCATGTAGAAAACCATGGCTCCAATGTCCAAGGGCTCCGAAAGGATGACGACCAAAAAGAGGTGGTGCCATCCACTTGTTCTTGATGATATCAGGGAGTATGAAACCATATCAAAACCCTTGGTTGAGAAGAACTGGCCCTGAGTTTCCACCTCCTCCACCTCCGGGTGTTATTGGTTTCGGGGTCAGTTCAGTCCCATCTCATCCTCCGAGGATGTATGATACGTGGCGCGCCACGAGACCCGGGGTCTCATACTCCAAATGAGCTGCTTCCATCTGCTTCCCATACTAGACCCTACATGTTTCCGAATGTCGGACACCTCTAAGTTAAATTAACCAATATGTTCGGACACCTAAAGGAATGTGTCTAGGCCATTCCCATGCTGTCTCGCAAAAAGAAACTCACGAAGCGACTCGCGACCTAAATATTACCAGGAAGTCCTTGTACTGGCCATCTTCCAAAGCATACGAGATCGTGGCATAGACGCCGCGCCGAAAGGGCCAGAAGGGAAAGCAGCAGTCCATGGGGCGATGAAACGCAGCGAGTGAGAAAGCAGCGTTTTCCACCCAGGTGGGTGTCACCGGTCGTTCGCGTGTGGTCATGACAAGCCGTATGTTCTCTCCAAAAGACACGGAAGCTACGAACGGGGCGCTTGGCATCGCTACGAAGGGAGCAAGGACGCTACTAGTAGCTCCTGGCCTTACTACTAGTAACAAGAAGCTACTAGGGGCTCAACCCTGAATAGACTGAAATGACTTGTGCTGTTTGCGTGTAAAAACGTGTTTTCCAAACCCAACAAAATCCTTCCAAAAGCTTCACCGGCACCTGTTTTGGAACCTGTTTTGGTCTGAACTGGTCGGTAGTTGGGCGAATTGGGGTGCAAATTGAGGAGCCAATTCGTCCAAAAGAAGACTCAAAGAGGTCCTGGCAGGTGCACCAGACCGGACTGATCACCGGACTGATCACCGGACTCAATATATTGATGCTCGACTTTTGAGGCCTGTAAGATGAATCTGATGCTCGAAACTCTTCCAATGTCTTTTGTTTTCATCGTCTGACGGCGGTCTCCTTGATCGCTTGGCCCAAGCAGCTACAACATCGCAACCGCGATCGATTTTTGGCCACAGTTTGATGCATCCGAGAACGGCTCTGGCTCCACAGTGCAGAGGCTCTGGGCTGGTTACGTGTGACCCTTCAGAAGAGGTGGCCCTGATAAGTGGGGGCCCACATGGTTCAAACATCCAATGGGGGAACATGAGGGAACACACACACACTGAAACGCCCAAACCACCTGGTGCATCTGATCTCCAACAACCCCCAGGCGAAATCGCCTCGAAATCGCCACACTCATCACACGCCCAGTTGGGTGTTCTTCATCTCATCCAAACCCAACTCACCAGGCGCCACATGCGACCACCGTATCCACTGCACCCGTCTCTTCCCCAGTTGGGTGTGCCAGGCCATGGGAGGTGCTTGGCCAGCCGCCCTGGAGAGCCGAGCACTGGAGAAGAGCGAATCAAAACAAATCAAAACATCGCTGAACTATAACTCAACCTGTAGGATTCACCTAGCCAACCTGCTCAACAGGAGCTTAAGATATAGCCAACGTGCTGTAGAATCCAAGCTTAAGATAGCTTCACCTGAACAAAAATGCTAAAATGCTCGCACGCGACGACCTGTGCTTTTTCACTCACGACGAACGGGAAGCTTCACCGAGATCTTGAACGGTCATGTGGACTAGGACCCGACTCGGACCAGAAGGCTCTCTATCGAAAAAGAATACATAATATAGATACCAGGACCTTCCAAGAGGTGTCTATAAATAGCCTCTTAGTGATTTGTTGTAGGGGTGTCCAGGAACCACCTCTTGGAAGGTGCTGGTATGCAAGAAATAACGACAAAAGGCCCCCTGCCACCTTGTGAAGTCTATAAAGATTTTTTCAGTCACTCGAGTCTAATTCTCATATTCTATCATCAAAAGAGGAGCTTCTGGCCTGCCAGTTGTTTCTTTGAACTAACCAACCTTCGTTGGTCCGAGGGGCAAGAAGCAGTTGCAAAATTCCAAGGACAGATCCAACCTGGGCAGGTCACGGGCCCAGCTCGTCCGGTTTGTCGTGGTACTCGGGGTAAAGGGGATAGAATTGATGGATTTGGGGAGCAGAAAATCCTTGGGTGAATTATTTTTGAAAGCACTAACTAGTTCAGTGAATGTATTTCAGCGTGCAAATCAATGATTCCCTTTTCCCTCGGAGAATCATGGAAGTGGAGGAGGGCCATCTCAAGTTCTATGAGCACCTGTTTGACAGCTACAAAGAAGCAATATCCAACTTCAGGGGAGAGCTGGAGAGTTCTTACACTATTCAGGCATGCTTTTGCTGGGACTTTTGCTGGGGTATTTCCAGGCCAGCAAATACAAGGACATGAATGAGCCACATGTATTACTCTCACAATATGAGCCTCCTACCCAAGTTGATATTTTGTACACTATGCTAGCTGCTTCACTCGGGAAACCAATTGGCAGCACCCATGACGAAAAAAAAGTACAGTGTCAGTTCTTGACCTAAGATCCCTCAAAGTGAGCTCACCCCCATGCTTCTGCATACCTCTGAAGAATTTGCAAAGCCAGTGATCTCACAGTCTGAGCACCAAGCATTTGGAAGACCACGTTCTCTAAGATGTGGCTATCCTCACGGAATCAATCTAAACATCCAAGTCCTCAACATGTCCTTCATGAGCGGATCATGAACTGATTGGACACAAATGAGTTGGATATGAGTCTTGTTGTTTAGCCCCCACCGGAGCATGTGGCGCCCACCCTCGGCGCATTCGTGTGCCAGACCAGTCAGTTTTGGGGCTCAGCACAGCAGGGTCATCGAGCAAACTTGCCAGGCCCCCAAAATAGGACTTATACCAGGACCTTCCAACAGGTGGTTTTGGGCAACCTCTTAACCTCTAAGAGGCTATTTATAGACACCTCTTGGAAGGTCCTGGTAGATGCCACCCCCCATTCGCCGGCAGGGGTTCTTGTTAGCGCTTTATAAATCCAATGGGATGCTTCAGCCTCTATCCTGCATCCTGCATCGCAGGCTGCGCCTGTTCCGGAACGCCTTGAATCCCGTCCCACTCCATGGGACTGGCGCCCTTTACCGATCAGTTGGGGTGGTTACGAAGGGGTCAATTGATGGGCATATATGTTGTACATGGCACTCGTTACACTAACAGTGAGCACTAACAGGGGGGGGCAGTGTCCAACATATATGGCAGTCCCATGGTGTTTGGGAATCACATTAGCGGCCTTCACGCGCCTGAGACCTCGGATCCCATCACCGAGTCGGTCCGAAATGGTCCGAACCGGGCTCAAACCGAAGCCGAAGAGGAAGGACAGGTGACCAACCCCAAATGGGGAAGTCAATCAGAATGGAGTTGAGGCAGCATCCCTTTAAATTCAGAGGAAGGAAACCAAACGTCCTCTCTCTCTCTCGCCCCCCCCCTCTCCGTGGGCATGTGGACGTTGGGCCGCCAGTCGTCGGAGCGGGCGGCGTTGAGAATCTGGCGCCGGATACGTCCGATCCGCCGGAGTGGCGGTGGTGGCGGTGCTTCGTCAAGTGCTTCAGACCCCCGGTGAAAAGAGAAGCACTTGACACTCTGAAGTTTTGACACTTGACACCCCCGGTGCTTCAGAGTGTCAAGCTTTTGCCTTCGGTTCGTCTCGCGACTGGACCGGATGGATGGACCAGACTGGAGGCCCCTCGGAGCGGAGTGGAGGCGGAGCGGGAAGTTTGGTTCGTCGAACGCAGCGGGCAGACCGGAGCTCCGTGGTTCAAAAAGACCGGACCGGACCCAAGTTGCCTTCTTCAGTTCGTGATCGCTTTGGGAGTCCGATCCAGTGACCTGCCTGGAACCAAGCCTGTGAGTTGGTTTGGATTCTTCCGTGGGTCTTTTCGGAGTCCCATGTGGATGGGAGACCCGCCTGGAAGACCAGGCCACAAACAGTTTGTGAGAGTGACCGGAGCCACCAGGGGATGAAGAACCAGATCATGAACTGAAGAACCAGGAACACCTGGATGGGGCTGCTATTGTTTCAATTTGGACATGCCCACATGCATCTTTCTTTCTCCATGAATGGTAGCAAAAGTCAGAAGAAAACGGTTGAAGAACGAAATCCTACATCACTTCAAATTCAAGAAGGTGGTTCCATTAATAGTAAACAAGATTGAACAGGAACGTGGTGCGTGCAGGGAGGATGATGAAAACGGTCTGGGCTATGTCCCGTCCAACGGAGTCGTCCTTCTCCCTGGGTAGCTTCGTGTTCCTAAGGCCAGGGTCACCCCGGCCCCCGGTAGATCTCTGGAAGTCCGGTGTCTCATGAGTCCAAACAACCGTTCTGGGAGACTGCTTTTGGGTGACAGGTTCCGGTGCCCGGTCACCTTTGCGGACGCAGGATTTCAGTTGGGTGGGCTGATCCTTCACGTTCGACCAGGGTAGATAGGTCTTGAGATGTCTGGAGGGGGTACAAGACAGCCAGTTTTCAGGTAGGGCAAACTATGACCCTGCAGAAATCAATGCTCATAGAGTCATAGGTGACTCCAGGCTCTGGTTTCTTTCCACAGGTTCCCTGACTGGTTCATAGTGATGAACTTTGTGAAGAAGCCCGCACCAGATGCCAAGCATCATTTCACACTCTCAAATGTCTTTGGGTTGTGAAAGCCTCAATATAGCAAAACACAACACGAGCACCACACAACTGACTACCTACACCCGCATCCGGTGCAACTCACCCACCCATGCTGCGTCCGTCCCCCCCACGGCCCTCCTCCGCTCTCCTCTGGTCCGTCCCAGGTTCCCGGCCCCTTGCTGGCGCCAGTCGCAGAGCCGTTCGAGGACGTATTGCCGCGAGGCGGGGCCGAACAACGGATGCACCTGGCGGCCGACAGACGGACCACGCCGCACGAGGCGACGCACCGGTGACGGTGACGCCGGACGTCTCGGCCGTTGGTCTGGTTGGTCTTGGTGTGACGCAAGCGATCCCAAGACCTTGAAAATAGTTGACAGCACATTGTTTAAAACAATTCTATAACCCTTGAATGAAGCCAAATCTTCTTGGCACGGCCTGTAGCAAATGTCAGCACTGAAGCAGGCCTGTGTTTATAGCAAATGTGTTTGGACGTGATCCAAATCCTGAAACAATTACAGCATATTACAGCCATGTTTTTGCCCATAGCTCCAATTGTCCATCGTTGCCCAGTCTGAAACTCCTCCGTTCCGTCCTCCAGGAACTTCACCCCATCAACCCACCAAACGCGCGCTCAACAAGCGCCGGCACCAGGAACTTCTCCAGTGCTTGCCGCCGTTGCCACTCCTGATTCGCCTCGCCGAGCGGCGTTCTGGCGAACCCGGCGTTCCACCCGGCGCCGGCGTGGGACCGAACGGATGCGACACGAGAATCGGTGCGTGGGACTGGACCTGTGTCGTTTGGAGCGAAACCAGGTGTGCGAGGCAGAGACAAACGCAAAATTCATTGGAG